TCTTAGACATGCTGTGGTCTATGGTGTTGTATCTTGGATCTCCATCAGAACAATCTTGTAAGTTGTCACTGGCAACCATCTTGACATTGAAGGCATATTGAGACTTTGGGATATTCACTTGATAAGTTACATCCTGGTATTCAGCTTCTTTGCTTCCGTCAATATGTTGCCCTTTGATTTGATTGTAGAATGCTTCTTCATCTTTTTCTTTTCCATTCTGCTCAATACCTGCTACAATAGAAGTGGTCATTTTCAAACTACTATTATCTACAGCTGAGCATTCTCGCTGTTGGCTTAGAAACTTGTGTGTTTCATCATGGGTTTCACCAACACTTCTTGTAGCACAATCTTTAAATGAAGTAACATTAGTTTTTATAATACTAGTTCCATCTTGGTAGCAATTATCACTGTAAAAATGTGCTTGGGCATGTGTGAAGCAGATTTTGCATGTGTCTCTGTAACAGAGGACCACACTAATTATAACCACTATTATTAAACAAAGAAAACTTACTGTTGTTACTATTACAAGTTTGCTAATTCCATAATTTTCATTTCCATTATTTTTATTATCATGTTTCTCATCATCTTTGACACCAATTATGAATAATGCAGATCCATGTACTTGGTTAGATGATTTCACTTGACATATCAGTACGCTGTCAATCATTTCATCAGTGATGGTCAAGTTTAGGTCAGGTTCTGAGATATTGACCAGTAGATTGGTATTGTTGATTGTCCAGTTGTATTCACATTGTGGACAGTCATGTCCAGTCTTACACTTAAAAGCTGCAGACTGTCCAACTCGAAGATTATCAGATGTAAAGATTGTCACATCAATTCTGACTTTAATTGGTTCCAGATAACATTCATGATCTGTAGTTAGATGATCAGCTGTCATTGTACATCGAAATTTTTTTCCGTTATGTTCCTCCATAATTGTAAATGAGTTTGTAGCATTGGTATACGTAGCGTTTTTCAGTTCTTTACATTCTTCAGTTGAACGCATAGACCACACCAATTTTGGATTTAAATTCACATTTTTTACCATGCAGACAGAGGTAAATTTTTCACCTACGTTGTAAATAGCAGTAGTTTTGTCGGAATAACAAAACTGTTTTGGAAGAACATTCAGGTAAGCAACACTGGATCCTTGAGAAGCCCGGCACTGGTACTTGCCACCATCAGATTGGATCACATCGACGAGATTTAATCTAAATTCAACATCGTCTCTTTCTTCTCTGTCTCTTATACACATCTAGATGTGTATAAGAGACAGGTACTAGCTTCCGGATTGCATAATGTGATATTTCTCCTGCAGGCATAGGTTGCATCGTTTATTAACATTAGAGTATGGCTTGCATTTAGATAGTATTCGCCATTGTATTTTATGCTTTACATTGCTGTCTTTAAGTTTCCAAACATATTGGCTAAGCGTGGTACTATTTCTATATTTAACATTCCGTCGAATCCTGAGATTTAATCAACGTAGGTGAATTATTTAAATACCGGTATTAAACCAATAACACATCCATCCAGAGCCAATCAATCTATTTTATAAGTGCCAACAATTAAAGTGGATCGCTCACTCTATTATAATGAAGGATGAAAGTGTTTGCAAATGTTAACATTCCACAAAGTTACAAACAAATGCAGAGGACAATTATTCATTTGATACCCCAGAGAGCCATCACATATAGTCAGGTTGACAGAAATTAATTCCTTAAAGAGTGCTTTGTCCGGACAATTTAATTTAAAACTAAAATACAAGAGCACTGAGTAGAGAGCATATCGCCACCATTAAACATTTCTTCATTGAAACATGACATCTAACTAGTCTGAAAAATTTCATTTAGATCCATTAATAAGTTTTTGAGATATTTAGGTCTGGGACCTTAAAAGATTTTTAATTACCTTTAAGTTCATACTCAAATTTGGGTCGCCACCAAACTTAGATAATTTCTTTCTTATAAAGGGGTTAAACTTTCACGAAAAGTCTCATTCAGATTAGTTGATTAGTTTTTGAAATATCTGGTCTGGGACGTTTTCCTAGGAATACTGTAGTCCTCATATCCACATTTACCTAACACTCCCTGTAACTTTCATTGTGTCTACTGCCACCAACGGGGGCATAGACACTATGTCATCATGTAGCAATTAAAGATGGCGGAAAAGGGTAAATCCGGTTTAGGCATGATGGGTACTACTATTGGGCGCTCTATTGACAATCGAATAGCATTCGGAACTCGAACAAAATTGCGTTCGAAGCGCGAACATGCGTTATAATATATTATAGTGTGGATGTATGTAGGTAGGTATGTTGACATGTGCCTAGGATTTCTGATCAATATTTGATTAATCTAAGCTACTTGTCATCCTGGCATGTATGCGAGTACAATGTATATGTATGTATGTACAGTATATTATTTATATTAAAAAAAGTTAGTAGAATATAATCAGAAAAATATGCATATAAAAGGAACGCATTGAAAACATATATTTAAATGTCGTATGTTACTATGAAAATAACTATAAAGAAATAATAAAAGCCATCAAGATGGACTAACCCGTTTTAAAGAAAAATGATTTTTATCTCTGGAAATACTCATATTGGATATTTCACGGTACAACATAAAACCTTGTAGTTGTAAATTATGTAATAATGAAATGTGAGAAGAAATAAAAGTGGGATAACCCCTCAAAAGACAAAAAAAAAAAAAATTTCAATTCTGTGTGATACAAGAGTGAAATCCTACTGAGATTTCAGTTTATTGTGTTGTTCTTTTGTGTAAATTGCTTTAAAATATCTCCTGATTAGCATCTCTACTACCTACTGTATTATAGTTTTGCCCAAACACCAACAATTGTTGTGATGCCCAGGTTCCTTGACAATTTGAAAATCCGGGTGTGTTGTTCAGGAATTTTTTGTTCTTTATTATTCACATGTCATTTGTTGACCTAATTTTAAGTAAAATTGGGACAGCAGATTGTGAGATGCGGCTGGAAAAAATTTGAAACATTTTAAAATCTGCATCTTCCGATCAGCACCAAATTTGAGGAGGGCCAAGATACATGTAACATTGACAATGTGTCCCCAACAAAAACTATGTATAATATAAATAATATAATTAAACATAAAAGAAAAAAATGTAAGTATATTAAAAATTTGTTTTAAATGTACCAAATTTTAAATGTACTGGTTTTTATAATGTCATTTGCTTTTGTAATTGTTTTTATGTTTATTTACCTTAAGTGATGAATTTTAAAACATATTTATGTGTTGTAGTGTGTTGACTTATATATATATTTATTAAAACATCTTATTGTAAGTTAGTGGGACCTCTATGTGCTTGGCCACTTACTGACTTTTGCTGTGAAAAACCTTAAATTACCAATTTTAAATTGAAGCTTAATAACTAAATTAATATACAGTTAAACTTGCCTGAGTGGACTCTGCCTAAGTCGAATAATTTCTAAGTTGATCTTATTTTACATGCCTAATTGTTGTGTTTTCCATTAATTAACAATCTGTTTAAAGTCAAATTTTATTTTAAGTTGAATAATATTTCAATTGCATTTTGGATTTGATTTAGGCAAGTTCAACTGTATCTATGACCACACTCCATACTTGGACATCATGCTTTCAACTATATCAGAGACTATAATAAGACATTCGATTCTGTCTGAAGATAAAACAGTATAAATTTTATTGACGTACATAAAACAAATTATTGCACACATAATATAAAAAAATAAAATATACTAAGTCATAAAGAAGATAGCATAAAAAAGAAAACGAACACACATCATATAACTTAACACACATCATATAAAGTAATTATAAATTAAAATTTTAGTTAACTGCATATTAAACTGAGTTTTGTTCAAAAGATTCCCTGTATGTTTGTATTGCATTCAAAGCCAAAGTCAAAGTAAAATTTATTCATCCATAAAAGAGGGAATTTCATTCTTGTTTACAGTATAAAAATATAAAAATTTGTAAAATGTAAAAAGTTATGAAACAACAAACAACGACAAACATATATGATTATCAGGTGGTTTCACAAATTTGGAAAAAAGCACATTAACTGAGAAGTTAAAATAGAAGTACAATTTAACCATTAAATGTTACTTTATAATAACATAAAACACCAATTAAAAAATTTCCACTACATGTTAGTTTACAATTCTACCTGATTTAATTACAGTGTATTCAGTGGGTGTGTGGGAATCATTTAAAATCATTGTAACTTCATTTAGCACGTCACGTTTCAAGGGCGGATCCAGAAAATAACATTTGAGGCGTTCTGGGTTATCGTTTTTTCTTTTTCTTTCTTTTTTTCTTTTTCCCCCCTTTTTTTACCTCTCAAAAGGGGGGACCGGGGCCGGGCCACGCTACCCCCCCCCCCAAATCCGCCCCTGCATTTGTAAATAGCGTTAATGAAATCAGAAAACTATTACATTTGACTAGACATGTGCAAGTATTTCTATGGGTCTTTTCACTTTTCTTTCTTTATCGTAATCTAATACTCTCGATTAAGTGCCGCGGCACTCATTCGAGAGCGGTGCTTATTCAAGCATTTACGGTAATTTAAAATATTACTGCAATACTCAACTACTAACTATTGTAAATTTTTAAACATTTTTTTGCAAGACATTTTTTAACTGCATAGAATTTGCCTATTTGTGTACATATGTATATTCTATTTATAACAAACTTGATAGTCTGGACAGGGCTTTGACTTCAAATTACGATGAGGACTGTGTTTTTATCAAAACAATATTTGTTTTATATACACACTATAAGATGCACATACCTGTATAGAATTATAGACACCTTTTTCACATTTTTTTAATTATTGTATTTGCTATCATTTTACCTTTAGCTACTGCAGCTAATTATGCCAGTCCTGGAATGTAAATTAAAATAATTTTTGCTATTTTCAATTTCAAAGGAAAAAAAAAAAATTCTGACATTGATAAATAAGTATGAATTGTTTCTTCTACAATACTTGTGCATCAAAGGTGCAAGGAGTAAAAGCATATAGTGTAAGATTATTATCTACATTATTATCTGCTTGAAAATTATCAGTATCATTTTTATTTGCTCGAAGCGTATCAGAGATTTCACAATAAAGTTGGGCATCACAATCATTGAAGATTGATTTAAGGTCAGGTTTTAAATCTAAGCTTGAACCTGATGCAAGGTCACTTGGGGATCTTGACAGCGGGGGGGCTGGTAGAGATCTTTTCAGGATACTCTCATTCCCACATTCATTATCAGAGGGTTTGTCAGTAGGTTTGTCAAAGGGGTTGTTGTAGGCGTAGTTGTCCACCCTTGACTCCATTAGATCTTGTTTCAATATGTTTTTGAACCCTGACATGGACACCTCAGAGGCAAGAGTTCTTAATGCTCTTGCATGCATTGTTTTTGAGCCATCAGATGTGTGTGTGGTGGCCTTAGGCATCCTGTGGGCTATGGTGTGGTATCGTGTATTTTCATCAGAACTGGCAACTGTCTTGACTTTAAAGGCATTCTGGGATTTTGGGATATTCACTTCATAATTATCTTCCTGGTATTCAGCTTCTTTGCTGCCATCAGTGTTGCCCTCTTTGATTTGATTGTAGAATGTTTTTTCTACATCTTTTTCTTTTCCATTCTGCTCAATATCCGCTGTAATAGGGGTGGACATTTTTAAACTACTGTCTTCAGCTAAGCATTCTTGCTGTTGACTTAAAAACTTGTGTGTGTCTTCATCATTTGTTTCATTAACACTTCTTGTAGCACAATCTTTAAATGAAGAAACATTAGTTTTTATAATACTAGTTCCGTCTTGGTAGCAATTATTGCTGTAAAAATGTGCTTGGGCATGTATGATGCAGACCTTGCATGTGCTTTTGTAACAGAGAACCATACTAATTATAACCACTATTATTAGTAAACTAAGGAAACTTACTGTTGTTACTATTACAAGTTTGCTAATTCCATTATTTTCATTTCCATTATTTTCATTTCGATTATTTTCATTGTGTTCCTCATCATCATT